GCTAAAACAAATGACTTAAGGTTTATTATGCAACCTTCTCTCCCCTCCACAACCTCAATGTCAGGGGATAACAAAATACTTAAACCATGCTAAATTCTTTATCTCATGTATGCTTCGTATATACCTCAATGTTAGGGATTAACAAAATACATAAACCATGCTAAATTCTTTATCTCATGCATGCTTCGTATATACCTCAATGTTAGGGATTTACAAAATACATAAACCATGCTAAATTCTTCCATATCACTGGCATTGCTTTATCTCATATATGTGTCTATTGTAAACAGAAGGAAATAGGAAGCTCAGACTTCTGAAATGATGGCCTGATTAAACTTATTAATCCGCCAGCGACCAGACAGGAATGTTGGCCCTGACCTGTCTTAAAGAGTTTGTACGTGTTGTCTGGCTGACAGAAACAGTACAAAGGCAAATAATCCTATCTAAGGCAAGTTAAGGACAGAAATGAATGATGGGTAATTTTGAAATAGAAAAAAGTATTGGGTAATTCCTAATTACTTGTATACACAAAGCATAGCATGATCAGATTTTTTTTGCAGAAATGATTTCCTTGCATCTGATTCCTTTTATTTCCTTTGAAAAAATATCAAATAATTGTTTTCTATATCAACACATTGGGAATTCAGTTACATTTATACAAATCATTCATATGAAAAACAAGAGCAAGAAAGGGAAACTGCAAGATCATTTTAAAATTAAATAATGATTGTGTCCCTTTATCTCAAAAGCATCAAACATTTTGACAAAACTTATATGAAGCAATGCATGATGGGTAAATGAAGCCCAAACACCGATTTATAACATGTACATTTTTGAATTTTGAAACATTTTCCACTCACAACACTATTTGGTTAAAAGCTCGTTAGAGCTTATGTTTTGTCGTTTGTAACTATACCGAATTTAAATAAAGCTTTCGTACATAAGATATTAGAAATATCTGTTCAAGTTTAAAAGTCTACTAGATAATATCTCCGACATATGGTGGCACCCCTGCCACTCCTCCACTGACAAATAAAATTAATTGAAATATGGAAATCAACCATAAAATTAATGAAAAACCTACAGAAATGACATGTTTTTGAATGTAGAATAACAGTGACCTTGACCTTTGGTACAAATTGATGAAATACGGACCTGTAAAACCATTATACCTTGGTACTTATACTCTGTATTTATCAAGTTCCATATCTAATACGATTAAAAATGAAGATGTTAGAGCGATATGCCAAGACATTTATAGACTTTTTCATGACAGAGGCATTACCACCCCTGCAATTTTGTGATTCCTCTATAAATCCTATTGACACACCCTACTTAATTCTGTACCAACCCGTACATTATATATATATATCTTATAAAATACCTCCCTACAGTGTCCTCACATATTGATTTACCAGTGTTCTGCAGGAAATAGTGATTCAACCAATTGTTATACATATTTGTGACAGTTCTTGGCAATAAACTTTCTAGAATCAATATTTGTTCACGAAATGTTTTCGATAAAAACTTTTGACAAATGAACAAAGCTTGTCAAAATATTTCTCCTCCAGGCTTCCTCATGTAGAGTTTAAAAGTGCAAAATACATGTATTTCCATTTACGCTCTGCGACAGGTTGCTATACCTAGTATGACCTGAGCTTAGATAAAGGTCTAAGGCAGCAACTTATGCATAAGTAGATGCAGCTATTTACAGCAATTGCTTTTTAAGAAATGGAAACAGGTCAAGGGTACTTTATCACTCGATATAGGTATGTAGGTAATATTCAAATCTCTGATAACCTATCTAAATCCTACGTCGCATATATACTGACTCGCTCTTGCCAAGTTTCAATAGCTAAATGCAACATTCAAAAGTTAAACTTTAAGCAGAAACATCTTTATTTTTGAAATATTTGCAAAGGAATTCTTAAACAAATGTTAAGGAAAAGAACATGATGACATAATCAATCTTGTGACTTAAATTGATGCTAGTAAGCCTAGCTGTGACCACAGAAACCAAATGACCCATATAGCCAGTTGACCTCTGAAAGTTCACATGACTCCTTTGACATATGACCTCTGTAACTTCAATTGTACCTATATCCTCTGACCTTTGTTGCTTGAGATAGAAAGAAAACTCTGTGGAGAAGACGATTTGTTTCAAGAGTAGAAGAACCTGTACGACTCCTGGAACAATGCGACTCATGTAACCATGTGAACCCAGTGTAACCATGTGACCCCTGTAACCATATGACCTCTGTAATCCAAAGACCCCCTGACACCAAAGTAGTTGACTATAAAAGATATTATGACCTTTGACATTGTGACCTCAACATACCTGAGATGGAATTGAGATCCAGTGAAGCAGACGTCCATCTCGTGAGTAGAAATGTAGCTCATTCCTGCACTGAAGATTTGGCAGACGGATGAAGCCCCCCACCGCCAATATTTCACCGCAATTAGACCAGTCCATCCGCAGACCTGTAAACGACATCAAGGGTCAATAATGAAGGCAAATAAACGAGGTCAACATAACAACATAATACAGTAAAGTACAACCAGTCTACCCAGTTGAATTATCTTTCCTTTGGATCCCATATCAAATTATTTTTTTTCTTAATTTTCCTGACAGACGAAATTTTGCACACAGCTAGATAACTATTCAGACTTGATCTTGGCATTATTTATATAAATGTATGTTTCTTCAACTATTGACAATGATAATTTTTTAACAAGACAATTTTCACAAAAATATTTAACATTATCTCATTAACAGCATCGCAAATAACAAATTAAATGTAACCTTCAGGAACACTGGATAATTCTCAAAAAAACTTTAAAAATTCTCATCAAACTTGAAATAAATATAAAGTCATAAAAGTCGATTGAAAACAAGCAAACAGACATAGAATCCAACGGAAAAGACTTACGACACATACATCACTGTAGGTCAAATAATTGGACGTATTTATTAGTATTGCATCAGTAAATCTTTGATTTGCTACTGCAAAATCAGGAAATGTTAAGGTGGATATGCCTTTTGTGTTACAAAAACATTGATCTTGCTGGAGTTTGTTTTTGAAGGGTAATCCAACACTGTTACTGCAAATCAATAACATTTTCATGAGATATTCATTTAAATGTTAAATCACAGGGATTGGATTGTTAATTCAAACATCTAATGAATGTGTCAAATGTCATTGTGAAGAGAGTATGAAGCTGGGACCAGATAGTCAGTTTGAGGGGAGTATGAAACCGACACACTTTTCTACACCCCTTTCATGATGTGTATCCCTATAGACAATGACATAAATTTTATCATTAGAGTTTTACGTTATAATGCATTCAGCATAAATCTATCTCCTCTTTAAACACCAACTAAAGGCCTTTAATTAGGTGTCCCCACCCAGCTCATGAATCACTGCCATCAATAAGGCGACACATTTCACACTTCAGTGACTCCGAGTGTTGTCATAAACGATGGTCGGCAATGTAAAATGAAGAGCAGTGAAAGTTCCCATCAGGAAGTATCAAAGTGCTATGTAATCATGGTTATCAAGTTTGTGATGCGAGTTTCATGTTTACAATGGACTCTCCGATGTTACGGTGATATCAAATAATCATTCGCGAGAGCCAACTCAGAAAAAGAGTTGTTTTATAATCCCTGACGTGTTCATAATGAGGCTTTACAACTTCAGTAGTGCAGCCCTGTTAAATTTGCACACAGTCTGTCAGAAATAACCAATATTTCACACCACAGTCCAAAAAATCACCACTGAAAAAGAGATCTTGTTTCCGAATAACAACATCGAGGAAGAGATATCATTTGATGACCAAAAGTCTCGATTCCAGATGTTCCATTTATGCTGATGATGTTTACCTGTATTTGTTAACTCTCTAGCACTAATTAAACCTACTGTGTAAACATATCTTGTCAATCCCGGAGATTTCTCCTGTGTCACCAAGTCATAATATCCTGGTAAACAGGTTTTCCTGACTGTATGATCGCACGATTGAAGTATCTTATTTACAAAGATGTTTTGAAAATCAAAGCAATGAAAAGATTAAGGTAAATTTGTACTAACATGACATTCTTTACGACTTAATTCGGAACAGATTATACACTAGCAGCCGACAACTACATGTCGATCTAGGCTTATTTGATCACGTACGATCGAAGGTGCTTTTCGCCGGAATTTAGCAAGTATTTTGGCTGCATATTTATATGAAATAAATAAATAAAAAGCGATAACTTCACCGATAATAAAGAAAGTCGCGTTAGTTACAATTTTTTAATTAAACTATCTTCTTTGTAATACCATATCACTTTGACATTTAAATACGGTAATTTCCGGGTTTTGACACCTGAAATTGTCAGAAAACATGTTTTCTCTTTAGGTCACTTTCCGGTTAATATCACATTTTCATCTGACAAATCAGAAGTGATAATAAGCGAAATCTACTGTACTAAGGTAGCTGATCACCACAAAACAAAACACTTAATCCCCTAGTTGAAATACTCCAATATTGTACCGTAAGTGGTTATTTGTGATCATGTCTCTTGAAAAGAAAAAAGATGTTAACTAACCCAAAATCAAGATGGCTTATGGTAACAAAAGGGTGATATAANGAAAAGATTAAGGTAAATTTGTACTAACATGACATTCTTTACGACTTAATTTGGAGCAGATTATACACTAGCAACCGACAACTACATGTCCATCTAGGCTTATTTGATCACGTACGATCGAAGGTGCTTTTCACCGGAATTTAGCAAGTATATTGGCTGCATATTTAAATGAAATAAATAAATGAAAAGTGATAACTTCACTGATAATATAGAAAGTCGCGTTAGTTACAATTTTTTTAATTATACTGTCTTCTTTGTAATACCATATCACTTTGACATTTAAATACGGTAATTTCCGGGTTTTGACACCTGAAATGGTCAGAAAAACATGTTTTCTTTTTATGTCACTTTCCGGTTAATATCACATTTTCATCTGACAAATCAGAAGTGATAATAAGCGAAATCTGCTGTACTAAGGAAGTTGATCACCACAAAACAAAACACTTAATCCCCTAGTTTAAATACTCCAATATTGTATCGTAAGTGGTTATTTGTGATCATGTCTCTTGAAAAGGAAAAAGATGGCTTATGGTAACAAAAGGGTGATATAACTTAATATCATCTAGTCTAGGGTTTTTTGAAACAAATGTATAATAAGGAATTAACAAAGACAATGCATTAACATTTTTATAGGGTTTAAAAAAATAAAGCTAAATTTTGTATTTGTAATTGCAGTTGGGATAATTTTTGCCTTACAAATAGTGAAATTTTCATATAAGAGTTGCTTTCATATCAACTCATTTCACAGTATGTTATATATGATTCTCTTCCAGTCTCTTTCATTTTTAATTGTGAATTGAAGGCAATACATCATCAGCAGAATTAACATGTACAGCTTCGTCTGACATGGGGATGGGCTACCAGCTTGTCCTTCACCAGATATATCAATGAACGGTAAACACCAACATGGGTGTTATCACAGAATCTCCCCAAGCACTCTGTCAATTGTTCATTAAACTTTAAATATGGAGCAATTCATGTAGCTCATTTGTGTGAGATGCATTTCATCATCGGAATGACAGTGCATCATTAAATTTCTAATTATCATGTTGTTTTGATCTGAGCAATGCATGTTCTCCGTATGACATCTTCATCATGTCACTGCAATACTTGAAATGGCATCATCAACGTTCCCAGCAATTTTCTAAATTGACATTTTCCCATATCAGCACATATTTCAAATAGCATTTTCTTTCTATGTATTGCAAAAAATATCTAAAAATGCCATTTTAACATCTAAACAACGCTTCAAGATAACATCTTCCATATGTCTGTGCAAAATTTCAAATAACCTATTAAATATTACCATATCTCATCAATATTCCAAATGATTCTTTATGTCTCTGCAATATTTCAAATGGCATTTTCTATAATATTGTCACAGCAATTTTCCAAAACACAATCTTGACTTCATATTCCAGCTGACAAACACCTATATTATACCAGTGATAAAAGACCTGTGATATACCAGTGAAAGGATACCTGTGATATACCAGTGATAGGAGACCTGTGATATACCAGTGATAGGAGACCTCTAATATACCAGTGATAGGGAACCTGTAATATACCAGTGATAGGGAACCTGTGTTATACCAGTGACAGGAGATCTGGGATATACCAGGGATAGGATACCTGTGATATACCAGTGATAGGAGACCTCTAATATACCAGTGATAGGGAACCTGTGTTATACCAGTGACAGGCGATCTGTGATATACCAGTGATAGGAAATATGTGATATACCAGTGATAGGAGACCTGGGATATACCAGTGATAGGAGACCTGTACTATACCAGTGATAGGGAACCTGTGATATACCAGTGATAGGGAACCTGTAATATACCAGTGATAGGGAACCTGTGATATACCAGTGACAGGAGATCTGTAATATACCAGTGATAGGATACCTGTGATATACCAGTGATAGGAAACCTGGGATATACCAATGATAGGATACCTGTGATATACCAGTGATAGGAGACCTGTGATATACCAGTGATAGGAGACCTGTAATATACCAGTGATAGGGAACCTGTGATATACCAGTGATAGGGAACCTGTAATATACCAGTGATAGGGAACCTGTAATATACCAGTGATAGAAGACCTGTGATATACCAGTGACAGGAGATCTGTGATATACCAGTGATAGGATACCTGTGATATACCAGTGATAGGAGACCTGTGATATACCAATGATAGGAGACCTGAAATATACCAGTGATAGGGAACCTGTGATATACCAGTGATAGGGAACCTGTAATATACCAGTGACAGGAGATCTGTGATATACCAGTGATAGGATACCTGTGATATACCAGTGATAGGAAACCTGGTATATACCAGTGATAGGAGATCTGTGATATACCAGTGATAGGAAATATGTGATATACCAGTGATAGGAGACCTGTGATATACCAGTGATAGGACACCTGTGATATACCAGTGATAGGAGACCTGTGAAATACCAGTGACAGGAGATCTGTGATATACCAGTGACAGGATACCTGTGATATACCAGTGATAGGATACCTGTGATATACCAGTGATAGGAGACCTGTGATATACCAGTAATAGAAGACCTGTGATATACCCGTGATAGGAGACCTGTGATATAACAGTGATGGGAGACCTGTGATATACCAGTGATAGGAGATCTGTGATATACCAGTGATAGGAAATATGTGATATACCCGTGATAGGAGACCTGTGATATAACAGTGATGGGAGACCTGTGATATACCAGTGATAGGAGATCTGTGATATACCAGTGATAGGAAATATGTGATATACCCGTGATAGGAGACCTGTGATATAACAGTGATGGGAGACCTGTGATATACCAGTGATA